CTCGGACCATCTCCATGGCTCCTCTGGCCTCTCTCAAGCAGGTCCATGTCCTTCTGGCGTGGATGGATGCATGCATGTCCCCCCCCCCCCCGCACGTACGTACCCCACGTGCACGACCCGTGTGACACAGGATGAACCCCCACCGGGCAGCGATGCTGTGAGTGACTTCTACAGAATCCACATTGTATGCGCTGTGCATTTCCAGTCCATACACACAGTGTGTACAATGCAGGTGCTATAAAGTCAGGTATCTCCCCATCAGCTGGAAAAAGGGCAAACCTCAAGCTGGGGAAAGTCTGGTGGACAACCCAACCCCCTTGCTCTCCTCTGTCACTTTTCTTGTGTACGTGTCTCCCAGCAGTGGGAAAAATGGCTTTTGTGCATGTGTCAAAGCTCTGAGTAAGAGAGGTGGTTGCAAAGCCATTGCTGGGAGATGAAAGCTGATGAATAAAGACCTTATGTAGGTCTGGAGAAATCTGGTCTGATCTCCCTGCTATTTGAAAACCTCTCTGAGGAACAATGAGTGTGTTTTTTTCAGTTAATAACATCCTCTTATGCCTCTTGTCTGAATACTTGCAGGCAAGGATGATTTCTACTTCGATAAACATGTGGTGCTCACCAACATGATTTTTGGGACCAGAGGACCTCTAACAGTAACACTTAGATCTATTTGTCTTTTCCAAGTCTCCCTGTAATCCTCGTTTGCACCGTAGCTGAAAGCCAGTGCAGTCCAGCTGGGGAGGTGGGCAATTAATATGGTGTGAAGGAAAAATGCCAACGGAATCAGCTTGGGTTTTCTAGCTATTGGTCATGCTTCTTAGACTTCCTTCATAAAACAGCTGCAGGGAACTTGAAGTCTGCTGGGGAATTTATTGTTGCCCATAATATCATTATTAATTTATTTTTGCTGGGTGCTGGCAAGGACCGAGCTCCTTTCTGTCATCGGTGTCTCCCTTGCACGAAGGGCACTGGGGACATTCATGGAGCTGTGCTCCCTGCTGCCAGTGAGGATGTGGACTGCAAAGACTCGACAGAAATCTTGGGGTCTGACATATGTTCTGGTTTCCTCAGTATTCTGGAAATAAGAGGTTGCAGGGTGATTTTTGCTCCTTACCCTCACCTTGGAAATTTCCAGGCAGGATAAACCCACTGCTGTTTATTGTTACACAAGCAAGAAAAAAAAAGAAATCCCAACTTTTGGGGCAAACTTGTCTTTTCTGCACCTATGTGGAATGTCCTAATTATTTATCGCCGACTCCCTGTCATTCCTTGCTGTGGTATGGGCAGGATCCAGTGCCCACTGCAGGGAACCGGAGTTTTTCCACTGACTCCAGTGGGTCTTGGATTGGCTTGCCCTTTCCAGTGCCCAAAAGCTATCCAAGCACTACGTCTGTGCAGGGGTGTGTGTGTACATTATCATGCTAATCAAAACAAAGCAAAAACAAATGCAACCAGAGGGATCCTATGTTCTCATTCCAGGGGAATTTAAATGGAGCAGCCTCAAAACTTTTGGAAGCACACGGACGATGGGTGTTGTGACAGGTGTGACTCCGGCTTTGTGGTTGCTCTGATAAAATGATTATACTCTGGCAGCGGTTGGAAGAATTAACGAGAGGAACCCATGCCTGTTAGACTGTTTTCCTTTGGCTGCATTACAAGCAGCATCAAGTTGGTTTTTCTTGTTAAACATATGGCATTATTTTTCAACTTCTTTTTTTTCCCCCCTTCTCTTCCAGCATTTGCTCTGGGGAATTACTTCTTTAAGTTTGCTCTGTACAGTTTAAAGCCATTTTCTGAGAAGCAAATTTTACGTAGCTTGAAGGTTTAGAAGAGGGTGGGTTTGGCTTTTTTTTTTTTTTTTTGGTTTTGTTTTGGGTTTGTTATGTTCATTTGTGTTAAAAAAGAGGTGACATCTAATCATAGAATCATAGAATCATAGAATCATAGAATCATATCTAAAGCCCCTTCTGTCTCACAGCAGAATGCATCGTCCCGTAAGTATCTCTCTTTATTTATTTTCCCCCAAACCTACCACCTGGATGGGACTAGACTCTGCCTGAGAGATGGATGTCCACTTTGGGACTCATACGTACACCTCCCATCTTTATCATCCAGCAGCACCAGCAGTTTCTGACCTACGCACCAGCTGAACACGAGGGTGCCCAGTAGCTTGTAGACACCTCCCCATAATCACTGTGGAAAGGAGGAAGGTTGGAAAGAGTCCTGTGGGCTGGATTGTCCTTGACTAGCAAATCTCTTGCTTGCTCTCAGAAAGCAAACCAACCCTGCAATACTCCATAAACTTGGATCTGCACTGTTTGGCTTGCTCAGAGCTCTGCTGTTAGACACATTGGTTTTCTTCTACAAGAAATCACGTGCTGGAATGGGGTGTGCACATTAATCTGGTCTTAAAATGCAGTCAGGATGTGGCCAGGTGCATTTTGGACTTGGAAATGGAAAGTGGTCCTGGGCCATATGGTTTAGAGGTAACCATAGACACCTCCAAACAGGTTTTTCCTGCTGTAAGCTCCTTGGTAGACCTACACCCCATTATTCTTACTTATGTCCTCGAGGACCAGCTAATAACATTTCCTGTTCTGCCTTACAGTCCACACGCTGCAGACAACTGTGGGCAACTGTTTTATTGTCCTCAGTCTACCAGCACCTCATAACTCCTTGCAAGCCAAAGCTCATGCCAGAAGCGAACAGAACGCCCATTCTCGTCTGCAATCTGTGTGCCCACAGCGCCTTCCACTAACGAGCACCCTCCCTGCACCCACATCCCACCCCTTTCTCCTCACTCCAGGAAAAGATGCCCATGTTAAAAGAAGAAGAAAAAAAAAGGGTTCCCCACAAATTGCTGGTTTCTACTGGTGCTTCAACACTCATGAAACCTCAGGAGCTTTTTGAAGCCATGGTAGGAAATCAGAGCTTAGGTCTGCCGTTGGGAGCAGATGCTCACGGCCTGATGCAACTTTCCACCCCCTCCAGCCCAGCGCTGGTTTCTCAGCAGGAGGCACTTGGCAGAGATGGGGATCACGCAGAGGGTGCACTGAAATCAGATGTCACATATGCACATCTGCTGCCCTGGAAGGACGGCAAGATGTGGTGCCTCTCCAAGCCTGAGCTGATCCTTCCAGAGATCCTGGAAGTGCCAGGGTGTGAGTACCAAAATTCGGGAATGATAAAAGTTTCACAGGAGAGCTGACCTGTCCTTGCAAGAGTCATTGTGTTGCTGATGCTCACCCTCCCTCTGTCCCCTCTCCTATATATATGTCTAGGCATTACCTGCTTCAAAGTCTACCTCCAAGAGGCTTCTTAATGGCCAACCATAAGGAACAGGCATAACTTACCCCAGCCAAATAACGTGAATCCCCAAAGATACTTCTTCTCTGAGAAAAATGCCATGAAGATGAGGCTGTGGAGATAGAGCCCTTCCACCAGAATCCAGTAGTAATTGGTTGCCAGGAAGTAGAGGAAGAAGGTAACCGCTACTTTACAGCCCACCTGCAACGACCACAGAAAGACGGGGTTGTGTGAGGAACACGGTGTGAAATTCTTGTTCTGCATAAATAAAGTCGTGATTTGCCACGATGGACTGGGAAACAAGATGGAGAAAGGAAAAAAAAAAAAATCAGAAAATTCCATTCCAGGGCTTTTACAAGGGGAAAATCAGTGCCAGAAGAGAAGAGATGGACAATTGAGAAGAAAGCTTCCCCTCAACCTGACATCGTGTCTCCAACAGCGGGTGAACTGGGAGGTGTTGGAGGACAGGGCACATGGGGACACACTGACCTGATCCTACTCTCCCCAACCCTCGTCATGACAGCTCACACGCTTTCTAGGACAGCTGCGTTTTGTCTTCTCCCTGTGATTCTTGTCCAGGTTAGAGGACAAAGGGCTGTGGCCAAGTCACCTTGTCCTGGATGACCTGGTGCAAGTCACGTCACCTGGACCTGCCATCACTTGGAAGAACAACTCCCTGCCCAGCTCAAGGAGAGATATGGGCACCACGCTGAGGGTGAGTCACCATCACCACGTCCAAGACAGAGTCCTCCAGGTCTGTCTATCTTTCCTCACCCTAAAGACACCCTAGATGGCTGCTGTAGGCTCTGGCGACTGGTCCTCCAAGAGCAAACTGAAGCCAGAGGATTTCACCCACAATGTCAAGTCATTTTCTGAACAGACCTGAGATGCAAGGTGGGACACTTGGTAGAGACTTCCAGGACATGCTGACCTTAAATGGGCACATTAGCTGACCTCTCACTCTATGCTGACCTGCAAGCCTTTGCTTTCTTGAGAGGAAAACCTTGACTGCAACTCAACGTTCCACTTGCCTTCTGGCAGAGTGGGGCAAAGCTCTCCCTCTTCCAACATTTCTCAGCCTTAGTAGAGAAAGGATGCAAAGTAATGATGCCACGGGGTTAACTGGTACAAAGAGACATAATAAAGCCATATCTTGTCAACGTGGAAATGGTAGGACTCAGGGAAACCGATGACTACCAAACATATTCCACAGCCACAGCACACCTCCATGCCGCCCCTTCCTTTGAGGGGAATACAAAGTTAACATTGTGGTCATTAAAGTGACTTGCAGAAAATGTTAATAATATGTACCTTGCAAATAAAAAGAATTTTTTTTTATTCTGGTCCAGGTCTTACGCTAATCCTTCGCCAATCAAAATGAATATGCACATATTCCATACATATATGTGCATATATATAAAAAATGGACATATATACCTCCATTTCCTTTTAAAAAGTGAGTCAAAATAGAAGGAAGATGAATTAAAAAATCCCCATCCATGTTTAATGATAACCCCTATACTCACAAAAAATATCCATCTACCCCACACAGGGAATCATCAGGCAATAATTGCAAAGCTTCCATTTCACTTGGAAAAAAAAATAAATACATTAATTGTTGCCTTCATCATTTGTTTGCCTTTCAATTCGGCAGAACGGGAAATGCCATTAAATTGCTAATAGTCAAAGAATACAATCTATTATCTCAATTAGTCCTTATAATGAGTCCAGTCCAAGGAGAAATAGAAAACAATGCAGAAAAACATCTTGTGTTCTTTCCAAAAAGGGAGCGTTTTGAAGTGTGCCAAGTGCTCCAGCCAGAGACTCACCAAATTAGCAAAATGCATCTCTGAAATGGGAAGGAAACAAATTTCCATTTGGGGGGACTTGGATCACAGTGGGACACTTCATATATGCTGATTTTATGCAGGGGTGTTGGTGGCACAGGCAGAAAGTTTGCTGCCATGTTGCAAGACCCACGCCACCAGGACAATGGAGCTGGATCCGATTTTTTTTGTGTGTATTGAAGGTAACCCTGGATCTTAGATACTAAAGTCTGCCTTGTCTGTCTCTGCAACATCCAACAATTTGTGGATGACGAGCTATCATACCTAGGATCCACCATAGGAAATCTGTGATGAGACCAACGAAAAGGAGAGCAGACAGCTTCAGCGAGCGGGGACAACTTTGAAACCTGAGGGTGGGCTTCATCCCCTCTCAAGCACGTGGACAATGCAGATATCTCCATCTGAGCTTTCTATGCAGTGAAAAGACACAAGTACTTCTGGAGTCAGTTCACCTGACCTCACTTTAATTTTTATTTTAGGCTGTGGTACATCATACCCTTGACTCAACTGACTGCGTTGACCATACTGACTCAGTTGACCATGGGTGGCACCTGAGATGACTAGATTGAATGAAGGTGTCTCCCTTGCAGACATCTGCTTTTTGCAGATGAACCCTGCCCTTTCTTTTGACAGCACATAATCCCTCCACTGTCCCTTCTAAAATGTCTTTTTTCAGAGATGGGAGTGACAAATCACAACAGGAGCAACTTGCTATGGTTTGCTGCAGGATTACAGTGAGGTGAGGTGTCTACTGCTGACCTTCTTCCTCACAAAATACCTCTGCTCTGGCTCTGGAGCCAGGGCTGAGAGCCTTCCAAGACACGTTGAACCATGGCTTTGCTACATCTGGGCTGTCAGTCTGATGGCACAGATGTTACAGCACAGGGATCATGGAAACACAGAATCCTAGAATGGTTTGGGTTGGAAGGGACCCTTCAGTGCCCCCCCCTGCCATGGGCAGGGACACCTCCCACTAGCCCAGGTTGCCCAAAGCCTCATCCAGCCTGGCCTTGAACCCCTCCAGGGATGGGGCATGGATCATACAGAGAGGAGCCCCAAGTGGAAAATCAGCCAGTGGCACACTGTGGTGGGAGGGATGCACACTGTGAAACGGAAGCACAGATGAGTTGTGCTGAGATATCCAGGGGAGTTTCCAGAGCCGTACACTCTAGGAGGCATCAGAGGAGCTGTTTAAAACAGTAGTGGTAGGGGGGAACCAAAACCCCAACCCTGGCTTTGCCTTTGAACCCCACAAGGAAGAGCTCTTCCTTGGCTCTGGGACTGGGCAGTGCCTCTGGGCCAGTGGATGGAGAGGGAGTGGGAAGGGATGAGGAGAAGATGTGGAAGGTGAGGAAAGGGAAGGAGCTGCTGTCCCTCAGCAGAGTGGAAAATCCACCTGAAAGAAAGGTGTTGAACGGAGAGGACAGAGACATGAAGGCCGGAGGGGCTGGTGCTCTGGTGATACTCACAAACTGTGATTTATCCGCCGGAGGTGCTTCAGTGATGGATTTCAAGTCTTCCTCTGAGATCCGTTCCATCTCCTCCAAAGCCGACCCGGAGTACAAGACCGCGTCCTTCACGAAGATGCTCACGGCTCTCAGCATGAAGGAGACAAACAGGTGCATGTGGATGTAGTTTCTAGTGCAGTGCAAACGCCTGGAGGAGGAGATAGAGAAGGATTGGAGTTTAGCCCAGCTGTTGGACGGACTCAGGGTCACCTCTGCTTCTGAAGACTCAGCTCCTCTCATCCCCCTGCTCCAGGGGTTTGGTTGCAGCAGACTTCTGCCGACTTTGCATTAGGACATTGCTGGGAAATGTCCCAGTGTCACTTTCACTGTGAAATCTGCTCCTCTTAGAGTCAAACCCTGCATTTCAAGTCATTTATCTGCGCTTTGTGCAGAGGAAATGGACTACAAAGGCTACAGCACTTGTGGCCACTAAAAACCTTGCAGAGGTTCTTGTAAACTTCTAATTTTTGTGCCCGCTCCAAATTTCGTAGTAACTGTAGTAGTAACTAGGGTGTGCTGGGCTCTTTTCTCTCTTTGCCATTCGAGGCACTACCCTTGGCTGGTCATGTTGAGCACTTTCTGGGCTCCACCCCAGCAATGGCAGCAATGACCCCACAAATGCTGATTGTAAAGCGCTTTAAGATCCTTTTGGCGGAAAAGCTGGATGGTAAGAAGCGAATGGGTTAGACTCACATCTGTGATTTGTGTTTTAGAAACAGTGATCCTGCTTTTGGGGAGAAGAAGGAACTAACTGACCTGCTGGGATCCCATCTGTCCTCTATGGTTGTGTTGCCTGGCTAGCCATGCATGAATTTATGAGTGGATTTGTATCGTCTTAAATCCCCAGATCCAATAATGCAAATAAAAAATAAAAATTGGGCGTTTTTCTCCCTTGGAGGAGATTGTCACAGTAATAACATTTTCCTGTGCTATTATGATACAAATTACACCAAGTGGAACTGCTGAGGTATAAATGGAGATGGGTTTTGTTTCCTGCATGTGAAATGTAGTCAGTGAATCTCTGGATTCTGAGTTATCTGGAATACAATCTGGCTTGGTCCCTGTTGCTGCTTTGATCCTTGGGACAAAGATATCCATGTTGTCTGGGCTGTAAATGAGGTTTCCAACTATGTGATGGAAGAGAAAGCGACTCCTGAAACTAGGAGTACGCTTGCACACATGGACATTAGATATTTTAACAACCTTTCCAGTGGGAAATGAAACAGGAGGGTAAGGTTTGAGAGGACAGGGGGGTGGTGGCAGGGGTGGGTTCTGGGACTACATCATGCCAAGTGCCTCCAGGAGAGGTCTGCACTCCCCCTTGGATTGTGCATGTCACGGATTCAGGTGCTGGGATGCCCTGCTGGGGCTTAGCTCGAGCACGATGGGACCGGCTGAGCCCATCTGCAGAATTTCCCTCCAGAGCTGTTGTCTGGGTCCTGCTTTCTGCTAGGACAAGATACTGCCAGCCACCGAAGGGAAGCAGATCTGGGGCTCAGGGGATCAGGACTCAGCACCCTGCTCTATCTGTAGCTTGCCAGGTTTCCCAAAGGACAAACTTCTAGCTGTGAGCGAGACCTTTCATCCCTCCCCTCCCCTGGTTTCGATGCCATCATGGAGGCGCAACAGCCTGAGTCTGAGGGTTGGATGATGTGGGTTCAAAATGCTATTCAGGGACCTACATCCCTTGGCAGGGGTGGTGAAAACGGAGGGCAGACAATCAGAGTCAGGAGGGTGAGGGGTCATTTTTGGATCCCTATGTACAGCAGCAGAATGGGGAGGTTGGAGGAGTGGGTCCGGCAACTTTACGCGGCTGGGGTCCCCTTCCACTGGTCTGTCCTTCATGAATATTCGGGTTTAGAGTGGAATTTCCCATCTGAAATATTAGCTATCTAAAAATTAGCCATCTAAACCTCAGGGGTAATAGGAACAGAAAATGCTAGATAGTCTTCCAAAGGAGAAAACCCTCTTCCTGGAGATGCCCCTCTTCCCATTTGCTAAAAAGAGGGTCTAGAAAACTCCATTGCAGGCAAGGGGAAGAAGTTCAGACATCCCACCCACCATCCCCCAAGAAATTTGACCTAAGTGACACTAACACAGCCCAAAGCACAGATGCAACCTCTCCGTGGCTTGCTGAAGAAGCACAATGCCACCCCAAGTTTTATCCTTTCGGAAAGCCCGAGGCTCTTCCAATCTAGCGACAACTCGCTTAGGTAGAAACAGAGCCGCCTACCTGAAGTATCCCAGGATAAGGACAGCAACTGTGAGGGATCCCAGAGAGATGGAGTATCCAACAGTATAAATCAAATAGAGGCGATCAAAGACCTCCTGCAGTAGAAATGATGGAAAAAATAGCGTCACATTAGAACGCGTCCTACTGCGTTGTAACACAACCGTGGTAGCAGCACAGAGATTCAGGCTATCGTACCTGCTGGGGCGGGGGAACAGCTCTGGGTCTGGGAAACCTTTGGTAATCACACTTGATGTCTTTTTTTTTTTGACATAAGGACAGGTCGGAAAGCGGTGTTCATCTTTCCTAATGACTGGGGGAAGGTGGGATTTTTGCAAGGGACTAGTGATGGGGTTGGGTTAATCCCATGCCTGAGAGGTTTTGCAGCATTTTCATCCCAAAGGAACCCAAAGCGCTTTACAAACTCTCAGCCAAATCCAAAGATGAAATCACCTGCATTTATTTTTCTTTTTTTAAAATCAAAAGCTGCCTATAACTGTGGTTATTCAATCCAGACACAACTTTAGCTTGCCAAAGTCCCATGGGAAAAGTCTCCGACACAGGAGACCTCATCGTAATTAATCCTGTAACAGGTTTTAGTTCTCTTGGCCCTCTATATTTTACAGTTGGGCTTAGAAACCTTCAGCTTTCCATTAAATAATAAAATGCTTTTCTTCATCCTGTGCTGGGGAAACAGCTTAACCCAGGAATCACAGAATATCTGCCTGAAAAGGGTTAAAAAGCCTGCTACCATCCTAGCTTGTACCACCTTTCCTCATCTGAAATTAGAAATAAACCCCGAAGAAACCAACCAATTCAGCATCTTTCTCCTCGCTCCCTCCTCCCCTGCCTCCCGCCTTTCCCTCACCCCACCCGCTGGGTTGCAATAACATTAGTAACGCCAGGCTCTGAATGACAGCTCTGATTTTGATTTGAGGCTAGAAATTCTGTCCTGGAATGCGAAACCTCAGCCCTATTACATCAGAATCCCCAGATATGCGAATGTTTCTTTGCGGTTTCCATTGGTAGAGTGGTGCGCTTGCCAATATTAATCTAGTATGTGTGTATGTGCGTATTTTTATACATACATATATATATATATCTGTGGAGGAAGCAAGCACTAAAAAATCCAATGTGAGTAGATTCAAAATAATAAAAAGAAAAAATAAAAAGCTCCTTCCCTTCAAAGCCTGGTGCACTTTTCCCACTGCCAAGCTGGAATCCTCTTTGAACTGGACAACATTTCCCTCTATGGTGAAAGTTAAAAAAAAATTAAAAAATAAAATACCTACTCCGAGTTTAGGATTGTCGGCAATTTGGCAGTTGGGAGGCGTCACTATGCCCAGCTGAACAAAAGCCTCCCTGAGCCCCATTCAGAAATTTAACCGGAAAGATCCACGTTCCTATCGGACAACGCCGCCGTTGTAGCAGCGATGGCCTTGGGAAGGGCTGGCTGACTGGCTGTCAGGAGGTTTTCGGAGGCTGTGGTTAATTCCTCCGATTAACCACAGGGCCTCTTTTTCAAAGGCTGTTGAGTCAGAACTGCCAAGACATACACATGCATGCATGCGTGCATGCACGCCGGTGTGCCTGCCTGCAGACGTAGGTGCCGCAAATCCTACTTGGTGTCGTGATGGGGAGCCTTCAGGGAAGGTGATTTTTTGGATGGGGTGCTTAAGTCCTTGGGGGAAAGCTTCAGGAGCAAAAGGTTGAGGTTCTCCAGAAGGTTGCACAAGGCAGCCCTTGGGAGAGCACCCGATGCTTGTGAGATCCCAGGGGTGTTTGTCCTCAGGAACGGTGAGTCCTGGATTTACCCAGGAGGGAAAAAAGAAGAAGAAAAAAAAAAACTCTAAAGGCAGTTCCAGGTCTCGCACATCTCCCAGTACAAGGGACGTCCCAGATCGGTGGAAACCACAATGTTGGATCAGGAAAGGTCCTCCAGGTAACAAAATATTGAGTCCTCTGCCAGCTGAAACAATCACCTCCATGGTCTGAGAACCGTCTCTCTGGAGCTGAGATGGATGGGAGCGTAAATAATTCACAGAAGAACACAAAGGTCATGCACGGCCAAGCCATGGACACAACCTGGACCTCCGCATCCTCAAGACAGTGCACTCCCATGACAGCTACCCACTAGACCATCCTGCGACAGCAGGAGCTCTACTTGATGTCTCTTATAAATCCACCCTGAAGACAGACTGACCACCACTGGTCATCCACTGACCTGTTGGAAGAGGCAACCCACCCTTCAAAAATCTGGCATTGCCACACCATGAGACCTTGGTTTTAAAGGTGCAATGCTTTAACCAGTGTAATTTAATTGGACTCCTGCAAGTAATCCTTCACTATTTCAACTGTTGACACTGTGCATGCTTTTTTTTTTTTTTTTTTTTTTTCAGCTGAAAAAAAGCTAATGGAGAACCAGAAGGACAAACTTCAATATCTGTGATTGCAGGGGCTGGGATTATCAGCAAAATATTGTAAAACTCATGATACAGTACCAAGATCAGGGAACACCAGGTTTCTCGACCACTCACGGTGCTCCTGGAGGGTCCTGAGCAGTATGAGGTCCCCCAATGTGGTTGAGTTGTTTTTGGGGTTGGTGAGATGACTTGCCATTGAGTGACACACCGTGCATCCTCTCTAGGTCATGCTCTGTGGTGGTCTCAGTTGATGCATAGCCTCAGGGTGCATCCTTTTCCCCATCCTCCCTGGCCAGACATTGCAAAGCTCCACCAAACCACAGCCATCCAAGTGAAATGATCCATCTGCAGTGAGCTAGCCCACCTGATCCTACCTTCCCCACCTCACTCCAGCCATAACTCAAGAGACTGACAATAGGCTGAACCACGAAAAACATAAGTATTATTTCAGATGTACTGCATGCTGAGTGCGTAACCAGATCTCCCTTTCCCCCTCCCTCTTGGTTTGGTGGGAGACTTCCTCTCTGCTCCCCTTTGCAGCTCAGCTTTCCACCAGCATGACCTCGGGGTAGAAGCTTCACAGCAACCTGGTGGCTTTGGGAGAGCAGGAAACCAAAACAGAGCTGGAGATGGCTTCTCCATGAACTCCAAGAGTGCATGGAAAAAACCCAAAATAACCAAAAACTAGCCACCATGGGCATCCATGGGCTGGATGTACCCCCCCTCCCACAAGGGTCCCCGCATTGCCCACTCCCTGTGGTTTGCCGTCTTCAGATGTGTGACCCTCAGAGCAGCTGGCTGTTACACCTTCATACTGTGCTCAGGGCTTAACCCAACTCCTAATTTGTCCACATCCACCAGTGGGGAGATAGTTTGCATTGATCTGAAGCCAGAGGAAAACTGCTTTCTTCTGCAGAACAGCTCAGAGCTGCATCAGCACCATCCGTGGGGTTTTGGAAGCCCCATCCATTGCAAAACCATGGCTGTCCTATCACTCCTACATAGGACAGTCTGCATGAAGGACATCTCTGCTCCCTCAAACTCTATTATGGGTCCATGGAGTTTGTCGTGGTGGATGTGGTCCTCTAATTTCATAGAACCATGGAATCACAGAACGGTTTGGGTTGGAAGGGATCTGAAAGCCCACCCAGTGCCACCCCCTGCCATGGGCAGGGACACCTCCCACCAGCCCAGGTTGCCCAAAGCCTCATCCAGCCTGGCCTTGAACCCCTCCAGGGATGGGGCATCCACAGCTGCTCTGGGCACCCTGGGCCACTGCCTCACCACCCTCATAGTAAAAATGTAGAACCACATCTTATTTAACTCAGGGCATAAACATAACCTGTGTGTCATCCTCCAGATGAAACCTTCAGGGCTTTGGTGTCCGTGTGTCCTGCTTCCTTCCAACATCACAGGAAGGGACGTGGGTGACTGAGTTATATTTTCTAGGTGACTGGTGGCAAACCCCGTTCTGAGCATTGTTCCACTGTGCTTTGTATCCAACTTTCATCCTTTTTCTTTCCCCTTTTGTGAGACAGTGGTAAGACTCTGCAACATGTAGGTTGTGAAGCTGAAACGGATCCAGTGGTCTTTGGAGGGGTTGGCAGGCTATGTCGAAGGGTGGGATTAGCAGTACATGAGGATGGAAGCGTGTGTAAGGGCTTTCCAGATCAAGTAACTACAAAGTTTCTCCAAGCTGCTGATTCAGATGTTGCTAATGACAAGTTTGAAATTAGCAGGGGAAGCATTTTACTGCTCTGAATGATAAGCAGTGCCAGAAAGCCTCTGTCACTAGCTCTACTCCCTGCTTTTCTTGTCTTTTTTTTTTTTTTTTTTAAATAAAAGAAGTGACTAAAAAAAGCTTAATGGCAGGGTGAAGGGATATTTGCAAAAGGCACAAACCAGTCACTGAATTCCAAAGCCCAAGGGAAACCATTGAGTGTTGAACGTGACTTTTTGCTACAGAATTCTGTTCCCCTCATCCATAGAGGTGACAGGCACCAGATCCCACCATCTGGAGAGCAACTGGGTTCAGCTTTCAGACTAAGACATGAGAGTGTGTCTCCATGTGTGTTGAGTGTCTATGTTTGCATGACAGCCAACATGGAGAGATCTTCAGACTCAGTTGCCTATACCTGAGTTGGGGTAGACCCACATCTCAGAAGCCAGCTGAGCTCTTTGGTGCCCCATAGATGAACTCACGAAAGACACCGCTTCTTCATGTCATGCCCAGTTAATCTACAATATAGCCACAGGACATCCAGGAGGCCACAGACAAGATGTGACCCAAATGTGCTGTTCACCTCAATGAAAAAAACTTCTCCAAATCCTACGCTACAGCCACGTGCTGAGAATGCCCCACTGCTGCAGGCTCATGGAGGGCTGGAAGTGGGGACAAGAACACTCTGCTTGCCAGCTTTCATAAACTGACTTTAAACATCTCCTGTGGGCCAAAAATGGTTAAACATGGGGTGCAAAGGGACTGCATCTGACCGTGTGCATTGCGTTGTGCCAACCCTTGGGTTTTCGGGTGAAGGATTATTATGATGCTGTCATAAACCACCAGACTTTCCCAGCAGACTCTAGTCATAAACTATTATCACACTAAAAGGTGTGACAGCATCTACAGGAACCCACCAGACCCAACCTATAGGCATGAAATGAAGGCTGCATGA